CCCATAAGTTGTACTCAAATAAATTATTAAAATAATGCATTTCCGATGACAAGATAAATTTCATTTTTCTTACGTTAATTAGAGATAATAATTTTTCTTGTTTTATTATACATTAATATTTAGTCTAATATTTATTTCTTTATTAATTTTAAAATATTTGTTATTAGAAACTGCAGAATATTTTTTGGAACTGATGATGCCAAAAGCGATCTTCTGCAGTGAGAAATCCGTAAATGTAATTTTGAGTGCGATAAAGAAGACGAAATGTAATCCTACAGTAGTGGTTTTCGGCAATCATCCTGATGCAATTTCGTTTTCCAATATTTTAAAAGAGTGTAGCGATGCGAAAGTAATAAATTTTCATTATATTGAACCTGACGACACTAAGAAAACAGCGTGTATCGCATTCACATCAGGCACTACAGGGATGCCGAAGGGTGTTGAAGTATCCAATTACTCTATGTTACTTATTCTGCAGGAAAACATTGTAAACATGACTAATTTGCGATTGCTGTGGTTTTCTCCTCTTTATTGGATGAGCGGGCTATTGTTGAACTTGTATGCGATAATAGACGGTGCCACAGCGATCCTTTATCCGGAATTTGATGAGGAGATGACTTGTCGACTGATTGAGAAGTACAAAGTAATATTATTTAAGAAATTTAATTTTTTATCTTATTTATAAAAGCTTTATACGTTATTAAAAAATTAAAATTGATGATTTTTAAGTCTTATAATTTTATAATTTAAGATAAGATAATGATTGAAATATGTCTACTTATATAAATATCTTGATGGAAATTGCTTTACAAATAATTGCAATAATTTAACTCTCTTATAAATTATTATATATTTATATTATTATATTAACATTTTGCAATAATAAAAACAAAATCAAAATTAAAATAAAAACAAAATATAATTAAATAATATCAAATATAAAATAATATTATTTTATTTATAAGACACATTTTTTATTAAATAACTTGATAAAGTAGTTGAATTTTATATCTACATTTTTCTGTTTTTTAAAAAAAATAATTAAAATATATTTTCATACAAATATAGAAATATTTTATCATACATCTTGTAAATAAGAACAATGATTTACAAGTTTTCACTTTTTCGCAAATTATGTTAACATTTTTTGATGACAATCAAGATAAATACAAGTAGCTAAAAAACTATTACATTATAATCATCTAACAGTAATTACCCAGAGAACATTATAACGTCTTCAAAATGTCTAAAAGACATCTTAAATATTATATTATCTTATTAAATTATAAAAAAGATGTCTTTAAGATGTCTTTAAAGCGTCTTATGACGCGATTTATGTCTTTGGGATGTCTTAAAGTCTTATTTTTCAATAAATAATATTTTTTAGATGTCTTTCAGACGCCTTATTCGGAGTCTTTTGAACATTCTGTAATGACATAAAAATTATCTAGTAAGCAAAATGCTAGCAATTTGCTGGCAGATTGGTAACAAATTCGATCAGATATTGACTGCAAATCAATTGTCATCTGTGTCCGCATTTGTCGGGATTTGTCGACAAAGCTTGCTGACATGATGCTATGTCAGCAGATTGGCGACAGAAACTAAGCAGAATCTGCTCACGTGGGCAGTTTAATAGTAGATTGACAGCAGGTTGGCGGCAAATCCTAGCACGAGTTTGCTCGGTTTCTGCCAGCAGGCTTTGATTATAGTTTTGATGGTAATTTGCCGACATCATTAGAGGTTACAACAAACTCTGCGTACAATTTGTTGCCTTTCTGCCATCAAACACTGGCAGCAGGTTTTGCTCAAAATTTGTTTCTGTCAGACTTTGCTATTGGGAAAATATGTTTTTCAAGACATCAGAAAGACATCTAAAAGACGGCTTTTTGATATAGTTTTAAAAACGTCTTTAAAAGAATATCTTTAAAATGTATTTTTCAAGAGGTCTTTAAGACATGTCCAAAAGATGTCTTGATGATTTATGATGTCTTTTGGTTAAGTAAAATGTCTCTTAAAGATGTTTTTCAGATGTCTTTTAGACATGCGTGCTATCTGGGTACTTGTTTTGGATGTCATGTAATTAATTTATATATGCTAATCTAATCGGTATTCACATTTGAGCATAATGACGAAATCTAAAAGCATAAATTATTATATTCTAGATAGAACTTGTTTACCTTCCTACAATTATGATTAATCAGTTTCTCAGAGAAGATTACATAACAAAATATTCATTATCTTCCTTGAGTGTTGTATTGTGTGGCGGTATGGCATTAAGACCAAAAATACAAGAGAAACTAAGACGTAATTTACCTCATGCTCAGATATTGCAAGGTTATGGTAAATATCATTATAATGCGTAAAAATTATATAAAGTATTCTGTACAATTAGCGGAGGTACATTTTTAAAACAATTAGAGCTAATAAAAATGTCGGAACAAAAGTGAATGATTTTAGATGTCATACATTCCTATGCTATTTTTATGTTGTTTTATGCATAGGTGCTGCGTTATAGCTGCAATTACGCTTGTTTTAAAACTTGATGTTCCTGAATGCACAAATTCAACTTTTCTTCTCTAAGAGATCTATTATTCAGATTAAAAATTATTTAAAAGTAGTTTTATATTTTACATATTTTATAATATAATATACATAAAGTATAAAACATTTATTTTTTAATAAACTTTCTTTAACAATTTTTTATACAGGAAAAGAAAGATATCAATTAGTGTTGCAAAAAATATAGTTAATTATTAAAAAGATTGTAATATTAAAATTTAGCAAACGCGTGCACATTGTATGTTTGTGTATATGTATGCATGCAAGGTTGGAAAATACTTATGATATCGTTATTATTACAATTATCTTTTTTACAACGGACTAATAATAGCATTATCTTTTTTCGTAACTGTAACATAGGTACATTTTTTCTAACAATGATAAAGAATTTAACAGTTACTTTTACCGTTACTTTTTATATTTTGTAATATTTTTCTATTTGTGACATTAATTTTTATACATTTGATCATTACATATTCAATCTTCGATCGATG